AGTGAGTGGTGAGGGCATTAGTTGGTTGGAATGGGGAATGGGCTTTAGAAGGTGAGGACGTGTGGGCTCTGCCCCGGGAACACATGCATTGTGGGACACTGGCCAGGTTTAAATTAAGCAGCCAAGGTATGCAAACTGTTAGGGAACACCACTTGCCCTCCAGCCCTCTTGTCCCTCATTTGTGCATGTCTTCCTGGCACAGGCAGATTTTCTGTCCTCTTGCTGACATCAGACAGATCTCATGCCTAGCAGAGATTGCTGGGCATGTCAGACCAAATGCTGCCTAGCCAAAAAAATGAAATGACCATCTCAGATCCCCCTAGCCTATCGTGGACCTCCTCCCACCTGTTTCCTCCTTCTAGAGAATATGTGTTTCCCGAGAAATTCAGGTTCACTGCAATGGCTGATGTTTATTATGCATACATGATGTCACTCTGTAGAGTTAACAGCTGTGTTTTCCTGAACGTACTACTATCCCCCACTCCCTTTTGCCATGTGCTTGTAGTGGCATTTCTTGGCCTTTCCTAGACAGGAGGAAATAGAAGAGTTGACACCATTTTTGTCGGTCTTCCAGCAGACACATAAACTCTTCTTCTAGAACCAGGTAAGATATAGGGCTTGACAGAATGACTGGCTGGTTGTCAGACTGTAGCAAGGATGCTAGCTAGTGCCAGCCCTCTGGCCAGCCCTAAGGACTTCAGAGGCAGATAAGGAGCTACAGGCAGGTAAGACAACGCTGTCTCATACAAACTGAATGCTCTACACGGCCATATTATAGCCTCTTCCACATTCTCCCCTGAGTTGTAGGGACAAATCATCTCCTCACCAGGAACCAAAGATGAGGGGTGCAAGTGAACACCTTATGCAGGAACTCTTAAACCAAAAGAAGATGCTTATACCATCCTAGGTAACATTCTTGAACTGACCAAAGAACATCATTGCACAAAGCAGTAGTACAGCGTGCATAGCCAGCAGCCATCAGTGTGATGCAAGTAACATCTCCAGTGGCTAATGTAACCCAAAACCTCATCTTTGAGCTGTGAAAAAGAGGCAGAGGGTTTGCCATGCTGTTACTAGACATGGTGAAACTACTTCCCCCTGACATGAAGGAAGGCTCATCCATCTATGATGACATGTGACTCAGTTGCAAAGCTGCCATCGAGGCTGTCTTAGAACAGGCACCAAGCTGCTAATGTGACTCAAGGCACTGACAAAGTCTATGGCATGTCTTCCGTTAACTGTTGACATCACAGATTTGTGTGTGTACTTATATGTGTATCTGCGGGCAGAGAGAACTGTACAGACCTTGACTTGATGGAAAAGCTGATTTCAGGGAAAGGGCAGGTTGTACTCATCTTGTGAACCCAGTGACATCTAGAAACCGGCCTGTCTGGTTCACAGCACCTGTGAAGCGCAGTATCCTTTTTTTCTTTCAATATTGCTTTGTGCTCTCTGCACTAGCCTTTATTTCCAATGGCTCCACCAGTGTGATGCAGACCCCCTGACAATGCCAGAAATTATTTTAATCGCCACTACCTGGGAGCAAGCGCTATGATATAAAAGCTCCTTTTATGTCATAGCTAGTGAGCTGTGGGCTTCCTCACATCACAGGAGAGACTGGCCACTCCGTGGTAGGATTGGTGCAGTATGGGATGGGTAACTGGGCGGGAAGGTGGGTGGAAAATTGGCTAGACTGCTGGGCTCAGAGGGGTTGTGTGAGCACTGCAAAGTCCAGCTGGCAGCCAGTAATTAGTTGAGTCCCTCGGAGGTTGGTCTCCTCCAGAATTTCCACAGGTATGCCCACATTCTGCCTTATGCTTCATGCACTCATTCACACCTCAGCAAAATAAATGCAACCTCCCCCCTGTTGCTAGCTTCTACACTGATGCACTTGTGCCCACTGATTTTCAGAAGTTTTGTTACAAACCCTGGTGGGGATGCTGAGTCCCAGGATCTGCCAGCTAGTCGGTGTGCTGCTGTCTGGCACTCTGCTACCCTCTTTGACGGCAGAGCATCCCTCCTTTAACGCGATGCCAGCTGTGAATGGCAGTCAAATGGGGCTGAGTGTAAGGCAGCACCGCTAAAAGTGGCATTAACTTTGAGCAGAGGTGGTTCTCCCCTGGGGACGAGCGTGCCCACCACCACCTGAATTTTTCTGTGGGTTACCCAATTCTTTGGGTATGGGCTTTCTGCTGTGGGCAGGTGGCAGCGCACGTGCCAGCAGCCAGCCCAGCACCGCAGGCCCCGGGGGGAAGTCTGCTGCACCTGCACTGTGGCCCTCTGCGGCAGCGGAAATCCCCACCGGCTAAAGGCTAGTAGGGCTAGCCTCGTTAGCTTCGCCTCTGCTATTACTGACGGGTTTTGCATCTTTTTGTACGCTTTGTGACTGCAGGGAGCAGTGGACTCTCAGTTGTCTCCAAATAAGAGTCTGACTTACAAACCTTGTAGTCCTCCTTAACTGTAGAGGAAGTTTAATGAAAATGAAAAGGGACATGACACCATTGAGCAAATGACAGAGAGGAACAAAACCTCTGCTGCTTGCTTCTCTTCCCTGTCTCTGGGATGTTTTAAAGATTCCTCAAAAGTAGCTCAGTTCGCCACCAGACTTTCTCCAATGGTTGCTAGAATTATCTTTTATTCAGATTATCCAACACTAAAGCCAGTCAGAGGACTGTTTGTGTTATTACAAATGATTTAATCCATGATTAGTGTGATTAACAAGACCACTGAGAGATGAAAGACGGTTGGGTATGCTTCTTGTAGGAAACAAGCTTTTTTTTTGCTTTGTGGTACGAAATTTCCTCATTCTTTTTCTCAGAATAGCTCGAGAGAACAGAAGTTTCTCTGTTTAAGATCTAATCTGCACTGCCTTCGCAGGAAGTTACAAATGTCTTGAACAAGCTTTCAGTTGACACATTTTTCTGAACAAGAAGCCCTTTGGACAAAGCCTTACTGATTAGAGACAGGAGTTGTTAAACCACAGCTCATGCCCATAGTTACCAACTAGTTAACCATACATGATTATCCTCTTGCCATCAGCCCAAATTAGGCAGGGTTTGATTCCTGTAAAACAGCAGCAGCTGCTGGATGTTGTGCTCTGTTGAAAGCCTTGCCTGTCTCACTGTGCCTAGTTAGGGAGGCCTATTTTCGTTTGCAAACCTATGCAAATAAACATTTCTCAGAGTATTTGTATCACAGTACATCTCTGGTCCCTGTGGTTGTTAGTCCTTGACCTGGCAAACTGAGTTGTTTCTTGACAGTCATAATCATGTTTAAACTCACATCAACATATTTTTACAGGCTCAGCAATTTCATGGATGTCTAGATAGAAGCAACCTGAAGACTAAACACCTCTGCTGGAAAAGCCAAAACATAAGCTTAGAGGAATTCAAGCTGACTTTAGTCCTTCACTAAAATGAGGAGATGATAGAACATCCAACTACATTATTTCAGAAAAAGTTATTGAAGTCATATTAAGTAAAGTCAGTACTGTGTGTCATGACACACTACTGGTTAGGAAAGCATTAAAACCCAAATATAGATGCTTGATACAAGCTCTCACGTACTTCATCCCTTGAAGGGATTCCGCATCCCCACCATGCCAGGCAGTACAGGGTCATTGCTGCTAAATGATGGCGATTGTTGCCACTGTAAAAAGTAAGTTAAAACCAGAAACAAATCGCAGCATCGCTCATTCTTGTTTATTTTTCTAAACAGACATTATTTATTCTAAAGCTTTGAAATCTAGTTACTACAATTTTCTAAAATTGCCCTTTTTATACTATCACCTTCAAGGCAGATCTGTGTATTAGGAGTCTGACAGCAGTAGCCATTTGAGGGGTCCTGAAAACTACAGAAAGCATTTCCATTGGAAAAAAAAAATAGAAAGGGAGAAAAGCTTTCCATTTGTTTATAGCTTCTTCAGAAATACTCTTTAGGGTGGAACTTTCCATGTTTCATCTTTTCTGAAGGTGATTTTCTTTTAAGCTGTCAGCAATATGTGGAAACTTTTTAACATAAATGCAAAATGCCTTAAATTATGAAAATTGTGTGACTAATTGGTGAGCAAAAACTTTCTCTATTGATTTGATACACAGCTTATTATACATGATAAAAATGCTCAGTGGAGTTGCCATTTACTGCGTTAGTCTTACAACAGAGCAGTCTTTGAAATGTAATGACCACATTAAAAATCAAGTAGTTTTTAAAGGGCTCAAACACATGATTCTGTTTATTTTTGAAGGAAATACTCTAACAGAAGACAGGCAGTTAAAATATGTAGTCCAGTACAAAGTATACTGGGGAATGACAATAAAATCTCATATGAAAGACAATAGTGCACAATAACCATATTATCTTCTGAGTTTGTATACAAACAAATACTCTATTAACAAACTTCACACCACACACAAAAGGCAAGAGCTTCACAAAAAATGATTGTAAAAGCATAGCATTGATACTGATTTTTTTGCTCCAAGCTTGCATTCTCTGTATAATGCTTGGGAAGAATGAGAACAGGTGTGAAAATAACAATAAAGAAATTGCCAGTGCATAAGCCATTCAAAAGGCTATGTTCTCTAAAAGATAATGAACACAGAGAGCTTGATTCAGATTCGCACTACAGTTCTTTCGTGCCTCCAGGATAAAGTGTAGGAGGTGGTAGTCTACTTTAGAGCCCGTTTTGGAGAAGAATGGTATGAAACAGCTTTAATATTAATGAGAATTAGCTTCGTACTTTTCAAAGTAGGATGTGAATGTATCCACCTTTTTATTATGATGATATATCAGTGAAAATACGTTCTGTACAAATATCAGCAAAACACATCTGAAAATAGAGACGGTGTGATTAATCCATGTCTTTTAAAAATAAATATATACAATATTTACATTTTGGACAGTTCCAGAAATGAACATGTCCAGCTTATGTACCACTACCTAAAACAATTCTCTATTATTATAGAAAATGCATTTACTGTACAAATATTTATAAATACATATGTATAAACTTTTTCAGTGAAATGTCTGGGGATTCATTGAAAAGAAAAACATCAGATATTCTTATTATCAGCTAACATTTAGCTCTCAAGTGTCCGCATATTAAACAGTCTAGAGCATTGTACATCAGACAGAAGTAGATTTTCTGTATTGTGGATATTTTGTGTTCTGCTTCTGTGCCATCGTACTGGCAAATCTGATTGTCTTTTCTGAAAATATGCAGGAAAGCAGCAGGACTAAATCAGTTTGACTCGGTGATTGTTATTGATTGCACCATGTCAGACAGGGTTTCTGGGTCTACTTCTTCTTTACCATTATCTGAATTTTCTGATGAGATGTAACAGCCAGAATCTCTTGGGCAGTCATTTAACTGTGATTTGTTGAAGCTATGGTGAGGGCTTAAGTTCCGCGTCTCCTGATCACCCTCACTTTTCTGCTGTTGTTCAACTAGAAAAAATAGAAAAAGAAAGCAAAAATAATTGTCAAAATAAGTATCCTGGGAAAGAGATTGAGATAGAAACATGACTGATCTTGAAGAACCGTAGAAACCAAGTTGGTATATACACACGACTAGATCAGTATCTTTTGTCTGTCAGAAACAGAAACCTCAACATCAAAGAACTAAAAATATGATTACGTGAGTATAACAACATCTAAGTTGATGTTGAGGTTGGCTTTGATCCTGCAGCATATTGCTCATACATGAACCAGAGACTTTGGCCATATCCTTTAGACCTAGGTCCTTTGGGCTGGCCACAGGTGCAACAGTCACCACGCGTGGTCACCATGCCCACAGCAGATGTGGCAGCTTCTCCCCTCCCAGACTCATGTATTCCAGAGCCTGCTTATGCAATTAATCATGTACCCTACTGCACCTTGTTTATAACACATTGCATTCTAGACGTTGTGTCTTTTGAAAGTAACCCCCAACATTTTACCTACTCTGTGCACTGTCTAGTGAGATATAATGCGCTGGTCTTCAGAAGCACTCAGCATAAAGATGTTTTTATCAGGTTTTCTAAAGCACTGGACTTTTCAGTGGGAGTGGGTGGCTGATGGAAACTTCCTAAGATTAACTTTTTATCCAAAAGATGATTTTCCAAAACACGAAGGCCTCAGAGAAAGCTAAGATGCCTAACTCCTGCTGTATGGTTTCTGAACACTGTTCCAAAACTAAGTAGAGGCAAATTATCTTGCAAATACCTTGTCCTTGTTTAGCTGCTGTATGACTAATCTATTCAAACTCAAAAATCTGCAACTCAGGGAGAGTATCAACAGACCCTTCAAAAAAAGCTCAACAAGCTGGTGCCTTGCAGACAGGATATACCTGTATATCATGAATCTGATATATCTTGTGGTTAAAGATGGTGTTCATATTTTCTGGCTGTGAAATACATGATGTTTACTCAGAGTAAATTTCTTCAGAAAACAAGCCATAAAATATAAAATCTTCCGCTTTCATACTTTTCTCTTTCCATATTGCCTTCTGTAACTGGATTTTTACTTCAAACTGCAGCTTGATTTCAAAACAAAGGATAAGGAACAAATCTCACAAGAAGCATATGGTTTACTTCAGATTTTAACCCTTCAGAAAAATGGTACATTTTTGCTTTTGCAGAGAAAGTTCCCTTATTTCACTTGACTTGTTACTCAATGGTTAAGTAGTTAGCTTCAAATCTTTAGTCAGATTTAAGCTGTCAGGTACAGACAGAGGGGAAGTCCTAGTTTATGAAGGATTTTATCCTTCATCAAAATCTTAATCTAGTTTAGCTCCAGGGTAGAATCCCAGAATTATAAAATTTCCACAAGGAAAATTTATACTGACATTTTTTTCAGTTGTTGGAAATTATAAGCTTTTGCAACATGGGAAAGATTTACAATTGGATTATTTTTTAAAAAAATCTTGTGTTATATTGTATCACAAAGAATAAATTAGAAATTAAAAAATGGAAGTGTTTCACTCTGAAATATTGAAATGGAACAGCAGGAGAGTCAGTTGTCATTGGGTAAGATTTCAATGAACTTATTTCATAAAGCATTTTGATATATTGAGAATTATTTCTAGGTCCTGATGGAAGTCTTGTAGATTTGTGTGGACTGATTAATTCTGTTTAATAGTTTCTGACTTTCAGTTGCCTACTTAAGTTAATAAAGTAATATGATTTTCAAGACAAGCATCTAATGTCTCAACTTACTTATTTTTGCATGAATAGGTTATAGGCATAAGCTTACGTATTAAAAAAAAAAAACAACAACAACAAAAAAAGAAGATCTCTGATTACTTGAAATACTTTTCAAAGAATAGGAGTCCCACCTTGTTCCCAAATAAATTTAATGGTTAATTGCACTTGCGTGAAAGACTACACCTTTCATCAGATTTAATTGATAGCTGTAACTGTTTGATCTCCTTCTCACCTTACAGAACATAGTTTGTCATGTCAAATGTTATCTCTCTTTGCAGGGAAAATATTTGGTCACGTACGGTCCAATTGATTTCTGATTTAAGTCAGGAAGGAATTACAAAAGGCATTACACCAGTGAAGGTATTACTGCTGCTATTAGTAGCAACAGAAGTAGTTTAGCACAAATAACAGCAGATGCCCCAGGAAAGCCTTGTCTAAACTGTGTCATTAGCTCCTCGCACCCATCCCGCCGGCGCCAAGACGAGCCAGGTCTTGGTCATTGTGGGTTGACAGAGCTCAGCCCGTGGACAGGTGAAGTCCTCCTGCGCGGCTGCAGGCAGGGCTGTCCTGCCCTCCGCTGTAATCCCCTCATCAGCCTAATGCTGCTTGCCGGTACTTTTATCAGCTTCTGTAGCATCATCTGCTGCCCTGGCAAGCGGTGACCTAGAAAGTGTTAATCCTGTTTACATTTTCAAGGTCAAAGAGGAACCTCCATCCACTTTGTTTGTTTTACAATGGAAAGAAGACCAGGTAACTAGTGGATTAAAAAAAAAATACAGTTTCAGTCAGTATATTAGTGCCCCGTAACTAGTTGTGATAATCTGAGCAGTTCCTATGTGAAAAAAAGATCCTAAATTCTTTTGTAGCAATGTCTTTCCATTGTATCTTTCAGGGAAAAAGACACAGACAAGCCTGGAACTGAGATTTTTTAAAATCTAAATTTAGATCAGTTAGGAGAATAAGAAATTTCTATTTAGAAAACATACAGAAATGTAAAAGTTCTGTCTCCTTCCATAAAAGTAGAAGAATTTTTTATACAAAAAACTGAAAAACAAAAATGTTCAGGTGTTTGAGACAGTGAAAATATTAAATTTTCTATTTTTCATTCTCAGCAGAAAAAGTTGAAGAAAACTCACCCATATTTAAGAAGAAAAGACTGAAAGCAAACTTTGGCACTTTTTTTTTCCTCTTTAAAGCAGCTTCAAGTATTATGCAGCAATTACTAAACCACTTGCACAGGATACTGAGTATTATAAATACATGTAGCATACAATTTAAGATGTTGCTTCATGAGAAAAGAAACTATGCTTTTTTTTTTCTTGTTAGCTTTTGGCTCTTACATTCAATTCTGCTTAATTCCTTCCTCTAACACGTATATGTTCAGGGTTCACATTAGTAAAGGTAAGTTGACTGTCTTAATCTTTTGGACATCAGAAGAAAGATGAAATGCACAGGAAACAGGAGTTGATAAAATTAAACTGCCGTTAGATGTTGCAGAATCATCGGAAATAACTATCTTATCAACAAATGGAAGTCCTATCATTTTTCTACAGTAAAGCATTTTCATATGAGATAAATAGCTTTCAGTCACTGTTGTCTATGATATGGCCAGAAGAGTCCCAAGATATGCATCATTTTGACACGTGTATTCTAATGCTACTTTAGACAGTAGGATTATATTCAGACTTCTGAAAAAAAAAAAAAAAAGTGAGGCCTTGAGTGTTGGTAATACATACTTATCTGCCTTGCTATTTTGATCTTGAAATGAATATTTGTTGTTCAATGACATAGATGTGCCTCACACACGCAGGGATAGATCTCTTTCCTTCACCAGCTTTTTTCCCTTTTTTAATGAGTTTAAAATCCTGATTAGGAAGGCACTTTAAGCTTAGGTTTAAGGCAATTCGGCTCAAGATGGTACTGAGGTCACACTGGCTCCCGTGCGGTTATGTCAGTTTAAACCAGATGAGTGGCAGGAGGCTTGGATTTTATCTTGGCAAAAAAACAAAAGGTCACCCAGCAGCAAGCTGTACTTCATGAGTGTGCCGTCTGAGAGTTTGCCTTTATGAGTTTTGCCCAGAAAAAGAACTGGGCTAGGAGCACGGGGCTGTAGGCTGAGTCACTTGCGTGCCTTCCTGGAAGGTGCAGCAGTGATGTACAGAGCAGCACGATGCAATAACCAAATAGAACAAAGGGTGTCTCCAAGGCTGGTGTTAGACCTCCTAGGTACGTGTGAAGGCCATGTATCAACCTGTAGTGCCTGTTCCAGTTAGACCACCTAATTATTAAAATGAAATGGAAACTCACAAAGCATTAAACTCAGAAAGGATAATTTTGAGCAGTAGATGGCAATACTTCTTGAAAAAGAAGCACAGAAACCTGAAGTGGGTCTGTAAACACATGCAATACTTTGGGGCTCAAAGGAGTAAACCTTTTGTGGGTATTTACTGACACGCAACTTGAAAAATTACACTCACGTCAGTGCATAGCTTTTCTGGGAGGGATACTGAACTGATGTGAGAGGAGAGTCTCTGATAGAAACAGAAACAAAAAGCTTCATAGTTTTTTTCTGTTTTCTCTAAAATCTGCAAGCAAACAGATGTGCCTGGAAAAAGGTTAAAAATACTAACATGTATGCAAGGATGAGCTTCCTTGGGAAATCTGGAAATACTATGTCCATGTCAATGAGTTGCACCACAGTACAGAAGGGGAGATTGTCTTTGAGCACTGTTTCACCTTGACATGGTATTGTGTAATCCCACATACTTAAAGGAACTGCCCAGTGTAACATCATAGAATCATGGAATTGTCTAGGTTGGAAGGGACATTTAAGATCATCAGGTTCAACCATCAACACTAACACTGCCAGTCCACCACTAAACCATGTCCCTCAGAACCACGTCTACCCATCTTGTAAATACCTCCAGGGATGGCGATTCCACCACTTCCCTGGGCAGCATGTTCCAATGCTTGACAACCCTTTCTGTGAAGAAATGTTTCCTAATATCTAATCTAAACCTCCCCTAGCTTAATTTGAGGCCAAATGGTACTCTTGATGCTAGGTCCTCATGTAAGGAATGCAATTGAGAACTGAAAGGCCTGTCCTTGGCGATCTCCTATCTTGCTGCCCAAGTTCAATAAATAAGGAGCAAACCTTCTCTGGTACTGGCAGTGGGATTTTGAGTGTGATCTGGCACTTAAATATAAAAAGTAAGCTAAGGAAATGGGTTTGGGGAGATAAGCATAAAATATTGTCTCCCAAATTGCACGTATGCACCTTTTTTTTTTCTATAAAATTAACTGTAGGCACATATCCAGTGAAGTCTAATTCTTTAATCCAGAATAGCTTCAGAGTGATGTAACCCACTGGACTTCAGGAATGAACCTCTTGACTTACATCGTCTCAGTGAGAAGAGAGTCAAGACTATTTTTGCACACACAAAAACGTGTGTCCTGGGAAGCAGGACAGCAGTCAAGAAGAAAGTTCCAAACTTCTTTTATTACTTTATTCATTAACCATTCAGCAACTGCTTCACTTTAAAAATAGCATCCTACAAAAGCACAGACATCCATCTCCTGTCTAGAAGCCATCTGGGAGAAGAATGGAAAGCTATTAAGAAATACTTGATGAAAAAAAGCTTTTTTTTTTCCTCCCCAGCCATGAATTCATGGGAACCAATCATTTTGTCCCAAATATATAGGTCTGATCAACTTATAGACAATCTAAAAAGAGATCTGGGGGGGTGGGGAAGGTCATGAGCAACTTACAAGACCTTGCAGTTCTGGGATAGCCTTGCTATGTGAAATACTTGAAGACGGTGAATTTGGGCCTGGACTCCCAGGAAAGGTAGAAAGAAGATAGTGCAGTACCAGGAAGCAAGGTCTCCTTAAAATCCGCTATGTGGTAGTATTTGCTAAATGAAACTTACTTTTTAATTCCTGGTATGAGATGGGTAAAGTTTTTTATTTCAAATTCATTCAGGTCTAAAGCAAATGTAAGATGAAAATATTCTCATTGCCAGAAATTCTACATTTTGGATGGCTTTAAGGAGCACATAATGTGGAAACCACTGCTGCAGGTCTTTTGGTTGGAAAACAATGACTTTTTATTCTGCAACATGAATTATATAGTCACAAGTACGTTACATGAAGAAATCACTTAGTATAACATACAATAAATGTCAAGAAATATCCAAGGAAAGAAAAAGCAATTAAAAGCCCTGTAAAAAACATCTGGATATTTCACAATATCAGATATCACATTAAAGAAAAATTAAATCTTGTTTTGCTACATTTATAGTAGACTCTAGTAAAATGAGGCTGTGTTCCAGCACGCTTGGCTGTTCTGAATAATAGCAGAGTCACAAAAACTCAGAAACTCTTCAATTGTGGACCATACCTGAGGCTCCATCCATTAGTCAAAGTCATGCTTCATGGAAGCACAAATGTAATGTAAAGGCATGGAAATCTCTCAAGTTCTATGAAGAAAGATGGGCTTAGAACAGTAAATATGGTCTGTGGCCTCAGTATATTTTTTCACAAAACTTATAAAAACAGTGAACTTTTACCTGGAAGAGTGTTGAACTTATATCTAGAATACTCTTGGCCAGTAAACAGATTACCTTGTAGCTGTGAGTAATTATGCTGCTCACTTCTAAGCAATGCAGAAAATCAATTTTAATTAAAAAAACATTTATGCTGGACTGAGTCATGCCCATTTAGGAAAAAAAAAATTGACCTGGGAAAGTTCAGTTCAGATGCAGAATTCACTTTCACAGTAGCACCTGGCTTTTTCAACCCAATTTTCCAATCAGATTGACAGAAGGACAAAGAGGTCAAATGATTCAGATGAAGTCAGACTCATGCTGAGCTTATCCCCAAGATCATCTTGACTTCCCGTCTTTCATTGTAACGACTTAACAGATGGTTTCTATCAGTTTTAGTCTTTAGTATCTTCCTTTTTAGAGCAAGTTGTTAAATTCTGTTCTGTTGCTACCAGTCACGTGACAGGTGCTATGAACCTTTGGCAACCAGATAAGGCAAGGATTTGATTCAGTCCTCATTCAAGACAGTATCGCAAACCAGAACAGTATTTATGTGTGGCTTACCTTAAAATATACGTGAGTCTTATGAAACTCAATTAGACTTAAATGAATGCATATAGCTGGCATGGTATATAAAGATGTCTTGGTTCTGGTCCCCACGAGTATTCATAAATTCTGGGAATATTATTTAATTGAATAATACTAGAAGGATTGGTTATACCTATCTAAAGTGGATGTGGAGCAAATATTAATTTCATCTTGATCTAAGACTACAGTGTCATCACTGATTTTGAAGCATGGGCCACTTTATAAAATTATTAAACTTATAGATTAATAGTTATTAAACTATCATACAGATAACATCAGGGACACTGTTTTGCCTGGAGAAGTGACTTAATCCCATGCTGTCAATTAGGAAGAACCTAATTTTTATAATTAAGGTAAATTTATTAATTTTCTTTGTATGGGATATGCAAGTACCTTCTTAGCTTTGGTCCTTGCACAGGTGTATGCAGAATATTAACTGTTAAGGCACCTTCAGAAAAAGAAAATCTTGGTGTCATCTTCTAAAATGGTTAGGTGTCTAAGGCTGCTTGCTATGCTTTTGTTACTCAAAGAATATAAATAGTAAACCATATCCTCTTCACTCCAGAATAGTTTGATACTTGCGTGGTCTGTTAAAAACCATAATGTTTTGGTTTTGTTTTTCACACTGATGCAAAATTCTGCAAAATTACAATCTGCCATTTTTCCTTAATGTTTGGGGTTTTTTTTTGTGTGTGTCTTAAATATGATATAGAAAAACACACACAATAAAAGGTGCAGAAAGTGCAGCAAGGCTGGTTACCAAGAAGTACGCACAAGTACATGTATACTCAGTTTATGGGCAAACTAGGAAGAGGAATGCATTTTCAGATGTTTTCCAGCTAGATTCCTGCAATACAATTCTTGGAAAATGTAACTTTTTTTTTTCTGGATTCACTCGTTCAGTCACTACTTCTGCATAGACAGCCCATCGAGAGTCCTTTCTAGCCCATCATCTCACAAAACTACAGACCAGAAAGAAGTCTTGATCCTGGTGGGCAAAGAAAGCCTCTCCAACATGTTTGCATGAATCTTACCTTTCCCTGGATGCTGACTAAGAACAGGAAAGACTGCATGTAGCAAAAGGCATTCTTAAAAACCCAGAGAGATTTATGTACTGATGCACATAGGGTATACGTGTACTTGCAGGTATGTGCATATGTATGTATGTGTGCTGAGTGAGAAATGGAAAGTGACCTATCTACCAAGGAGAGAAAGATTGGACAGCTGACAAGAACTGCTATTAAAATATCCCAGGAAGTCATTGCTTTTCCAGGTCTCCTTTTCTTTCTTTCAGATGCTTCTCAATTGTGAGTGCACATCTGATTAAATGACTGCTCAGGATAGGTGGTGAGTACGCACAATTAATGAAGAGAAAAACATCTGGTTTGGTTGAGTGTCTAATTAAGTAGATGCTTGGCTGAAGTTTCCAGGAACTTGACATAAATTATTAAAAATTAGAAGTCAGGTTGGAACTATCATGAAAATATCACGAGAACAGTACTTTCTGTTCTGTATCCTAGTTTTCCACTCCCAGCAAAAAGAAGAAGTGAAGAACACATAATGGTGGTCAATACACATACATATACACACACCGTATGATCAGCTTTCAGCAGCTCACTGGAAGCTTGAGTCAGATTCAGTTTGAGAAAAGAATGCAAACCAGCTATTAGATTTTTGTTGGTTATTTTTTTGGGGGGTTTTGGGGGGGTTGTTTTTTCTTTTTTCTTTTTTTCAAAACCTTCCTACAAATACTGATTTGGATAAGGATTTAAGTGTGGGATGAAGTGAGAGAAGAAAAAAATGTATTCTGCAGAAAGTAATTTAAAAACTAAAGACAATTCTTTACTGTAGCAATTTGAAATATGCTCTTTTTTTGGTTAACATATAAGCGCAGAGTTTGGGAGGTTTTATTTTCTACTCTTGCACAGACCTTGTGACTTTTAGGAAGTCACTTAAAATCTCTGGGGGTTGGTTCCCCAACCATAAATAGAGTTGTTCTCAAGCAATAGCTGCTGCCAATCTCTAATTTAGGATGTATAAATGAGAAATTTTAAATCATTCATGTGTTACTAGTATAGTAATCGTATGTATTTAGAAGAGATGTACAGTTTGCTATCTGAACAAATAAGAAAACCATCTGACTCCATGTTTCATATCTAAAAGACAAATCATTTAACAGATCAATGTGAGAATCGCTATTTCTTTAAATGTGTTTCTTCAATTAATACTTGCATGTGACTCTTAACAAAGCTGAAACACTTACTGTCACAGTCTTGTAGATTTTCAATTGCTGATAACAATCTTGCCCTGTCTTCTGGGTTTGAAATATTTAATTCAATCAGGTGGCTCTCCTGTAGATCCTTTAAGTCCTCTAGAGTTTCATAGCCATTTAGCAAGAGGGTTGAGGCATATTCCTACAAAAAGAAGCAAGGAAATCCTCTCATGTAAACAGGCACTATGTTTAGTAGAGGAATAGGCACGATTTCTCTTATACTTTTTTGTCAGGTTGCAATGGGCTTCATGCTCTACTCTGATCGATCTGCCTTTGGCATAAAACCAGAGTTGGAGAACAAGAGAGGACAGAGGCGGAGATACCTTGGGGTCCTCTTGACCATCTCAGCATCTCTGGCTGAGTTGGCTAAAAGAGCATGGCAGCAAATTGGACCAGGACAGAGCTTTGCTAGAAATGATTGAATCTGCTGAGCTTCTGGACTTTTGCAGGTCACCCTATGGAGTGCCTCCCAGGCTGGGTCCAGGAGGACCTCTGAGGTAGGGCGTGCTCCTTCTTTGCACAGAAGGAGCTCTTCAATATAAGTGAGGGTGAGATGCTGAGGGACCCTTCAGCCATGCTGTGTCACACATAGTCCTCCTTGAGCTGTGTGTTGACGAGGTATGAAACCCTGCATGTACTCCAGGGAAACGAGTCTTTGCATCAGAACAAAAGCAATAACTGTTACTAAAAATGTTGCCTGTAAATCATGACATAATTATGCTTTGACACTCAGTTGAGAACCATGGTTGCAGAGAGGGAGAGAGGAACAACACGAGCATAGTGCATTTAGGCTACTGCTCCCTAAAGATAGTGAGAAATTAAAAACCCAAATTCTAAATGTTGTCAGTGGAGTCAGACTACAGTCCTGTCCCTGCAGTGTCCACAGTCACACACCTCCTACCCTTAGGCGCACAATCGCAGTCAGGTTACGGTGGCTTGACAGCTCACCACCATGCCTCTTTGCGTGTAGTCTCTTAGCCTAACCAAATGATGTGGTAAAACACAGTTCTATAAGCCACTCTCATCAGATAAAAGACACGAAACTTCTTTGCTGACATCAACACTGCTGAAACCCGCCTTTCTACTTCTGCCTGTAAATGACATCCAGACCCAGGCACACAGAAATGAAACGTTTCAAATACAGCTGGGAAATGCATTGGCTGACCTGCAGGTGGACACAATCCAGGAGCTCTTGCAATGTTTTAGGCTTGGTCCTTTTGCTTCCTCTGTGTGGCTTTATCTTTCTGGGTGCAGCTTCCTCTTCCAAGATAATATCCACGTAAATGAACTTGAAGTTTCCTACTTTGTTGTTCAGCATGCCTGTCCATATGCCCATGGGGGTTTTACAGATGATATCTATAATGTCTCCTTTCTAGAACAATAAAAAAAAAAGGACACCACTGCTTACACATCTGGTTTGTTATATGTAGCTTTTCCTCTATGGACCAAAACCAGCACAGACAGCACAGAGTCTTAACTAGTCTTACCTTACCTAGATTTAGCTCCTTTGCTTTTATAAAATCCCAGCCAAGTAAGTACAGAAAATGGAGCTAGCCCTTATCTCTAAAACCTTTGCAAAGGAGAGGTGAGCATGAACAGCACCTTTCATCTTTTTTGTGCTCCCCTTGGTCCCTGAAAGGGGATAGGGTTGCATCAGCAATCAACTTCTGCCGTGAATAATGGGCATAGCTTGGGCAAAAAGCAGAGGAACACTGTGAGGTTGTTTTCCAATACGTGCTGAACTATTTACACAATAATCTTATTATCCAGCATCTCAAGGGTCTTCAAAATCTGATGGCTAAGCTATGTGAAAGGCAAACTGTAACCCATTTTACAGTAAAAAACACTGGCTACATTTCTCAAAGGCAATAAAGAACATTTAACTCCCATAATATCTTCCTGTCAGTCCTTCCCAAAGGACTGTCAAATTTCCCCACTATTATTAACACAATAGACTGAGAAAATAGTGAAGGTGCCTTAGCAGACAGATCTGAAGGCTTTAGCTCTCCACACTTGTGCATGCAATTGCAAATGTGAGCCCAAAAAAGACTGACAACACAGCAACTTCAAGAGGGCTTTTTGGTAAAGGTGTTTACAGCCACGCTGTGGGAACCAAGGTCTCAGCTTAGCAAAACAGTCATTCTGAGTAATTCTCGTAGTGAAAAGACTCACTTGCAAGTCACACAACTTGCTCCCATGGCCTCAGAATTGAGTCCTCTGTTCTGGACAGGTACCACAGAACTTATAAAAAAGTTGAAGGTCTTTAAAGAGTTGGCCAACAACTCCCCATGTACAGACTTCATTTGGCATTCTGTTACAAACTTAAAAATCAAACTCGGTTTGTTAAAATATCTGTTAACAAATCCAATCCTTTCAAATCTTTTCTGATCTGGTCAAGAAATGGAAAGTAAATAAAACAATCACCCTAGTTTTGGTACAAACCCAAGTATGAAATTCACTGTGTTCCAGTGACCTGGTTTTGTTGAAATATGGAGCTCAGAGTTTTGAGCACGTTGAAATGGAAACTAAATAAACATTTGTTTAAAGCTCTATAAGCACACATATTATTACACACACTCATGGAGGATCAGGAACTTCAGACATGGATGCAGATCAGGATTAGCTAGTGGCTCTAAGCCAGGCTGCAGATGCACTTTGAATTCAGATTCAGGGTACTGAAATTTTGCGAGATAAATGTAAAGGATTTCAACCCTAAATATTAGTTTATAATTCTAAAATGCATGACTTCAGTGACTAAAAAAGGAACCTACGTAAGTCAGCAGAAAAGTGCTATTTCACGACCAGTTAAACAGAAAGAAATGCCCTAGGTAAGGGTGGAGGTGGAGGGCAAGGGTTGAAGACTGCAAGTACTGGCAGAGCAATGGCTGTAGTGTATACATAGGCCAGAGAGGAGGAAGGAGAGACTGCAGTGAGATACAGATGGGGATTTTGACAAGAAGAAGAGGCTGTGAAAAAGAAGAAAAGATGCTGAAGTGGGAATATAATCTGGATATGAAGGTGGTTACAAAGAAGGAAAAGAAAGAAATCCAGATTGTAGACATGAGTAGTCTGAAGGATGATGATATTGCATGTATCTGTGCATGGAAGGAGAGGAAAAGCAATGTTCAACTGGGGCCATGTCTGGAGCCCCTTTTTCTCACTCACACAGCCTGGACACCCCTGCCATGTTGTCAGGGACAGAGAATATTCATCGTTCAAAGTTATGCTTAAAGAAAAGCTTAATGGAAACGCGAACTGTTTTCATTAAAGACAATGGGTACCATTGAGCTTATGATATATCCTAGTTGTGACTGAAAAAAGCTGGGGAAGCAACTTCACATCCCATGAGACTCAAGTTTTTCTTACTCCAGACCTAGTATATGGGAAGCAACATGTATTTTACTGAGGAAAGCTGTGGTATCCAGGTAGATACCATGATGAGGTACCGATCTGGACTCTATGCCTTAAAATGCCTTTAGCAGCAGTTGGCTCTGCAGCATTGTCTGAACTAAGTCCTTATAGAAGCACTGCAAAACAAGATTGGTCTTGCTTTTAGAATGTTACAGGTGCTTAACAGTTAAAAATGCATTAGTAAACATTTTTGACATTTAAGAAATGCCCCCCTGGCATTCTTACTGGAAAAGAGGAGAGCCTGGTGGTTGTCTTACCTTGATTTTCAGAGAATCAGTGTCATAAGGACTCGGTGTGAAGTCGGTGTGAACTTTGGCTCGACCACAGAAGGGCCCACTGTAAGGGACTTCGTCATCAAACCGGAGGCTGTCCCTGTTGCTCGTTCCATCTGAGCAGCTGGTCACCCCACCTTAAAGAGAGTTAAGTTGAGAGTGCTACTACACCAAATGCCCAGACATGTAATTCTGCTGCACAGCAGCCGAGAGGAAAGTGTTTAAAAGCACAGAATTAGAGTAAGAGTGTACTCTGTGTGGTTTTGACACGTTCCAGGAAAAATACATTCAATAAAAAGCATACTACAAGAGACTGAAGAAAATAGGTACGAGTTCTTTTATTAACATCTTCCCTAGAGTAATCTTTTTTCTGGTGATGGTACTAATAGACTACACATTTTGCTTACAGACTTTTTGAAATATCACCTCTGCAGATTAATAAAATGTACTCTAAAAGTGCAATTTAGGGAATTAATTCTGCTGAACTTTTCCTGTTTATTCAGAGAAATGAAAACAAGTACTGTGGAAGTTATTTTATTTCATTACAGAGCTAGCTGAAACATCAAAGGAACCTGCATTGCAGAGGGAAATTTTAATCTTTTCAACATTTCTGCCTGTCATTTTATCCAAGTTGAGCAATAAAATATCGGCAGAGTAATTCAAGCAAATTTGAGCAAGCTCTGCAATATCCCATCCAAATATGTTTTTAGATAAGAGCAGCAGTGTGTTGGAAGTAAACTCCCATATACAATTTTCACAAATCACATCATAGAAAATGATCATAAAAATGGTTTTGTTTGAGGTGATTGCTTAAGTGCATAGCTCCATCTCAGGGCCAGATTAACTACTAAGTGCAAATGGTCTGGACTGCAGCTCGAGTCCCCACTTAGGGCTCACGTGGTGCTTGCAGTGATGGGACAGCAACGTCACTGTGGACAGCTGTGGCCTGCTGCCCAGCAGATGTCCACAGCAGAGCAATGCATAGAGAGGTGGAGGCAAACTCCACTTCTCATCAGGGATTCATCTGCCCTTGGACTGAGACTACCCTGTTGCAGGAGGGTTTCCAGTGGGTTTGTAGAGAAGCAGACTGTGTCTCTCTGCACCATGACCTGAAGCTGCCACATCAGGCCCCCATCACTCATCATCTCAGAGAGACCTCACGCTTTGTCTGCCTCACATCTGCAGGGCAAAGGATGAACTCACAGCCACTATCCCCAGAGAGGATGCTTGTGTGGCTGCAGCCAGTGATTGGAAGCCTATGGGTGCTGGCACCATAGCAGTGATAACCCCAGAAAACATTTATGGCATATCCTCTATAATCCATGTTATTATTTCACTTCAGTAAATATTTCTACTTAGACACTCGGCTTATTGCTGGAGAGAGGTATATCTACCCTAGCTGCCACCCATTTAATCAAATTACACCTTTGCCAGACTGAAGAGCTTTCTACTATCACATTTTCGATCACCAGCTCTGATACCTCAGACTTAAACAATAACAATATTGATCCAGTGACTGAATAAGAAGTGTGGCTATCTGGTACTTACTAGATGAGCTCTGGCCACTGTTCAGACTATAGAGACTTTCCATAGAGTCACTGGCTTTTAGGGAGACCTTCTCAGTGTGTGTTCCACCACCAGGATCACTGTCATCTTTTCCTTCTTCACTCTTTAACACAAAAATCAGGTGTTAACAACTAAGAGATGTATTTTAGACAAACATTTGGGGGTTTTCTTTTAAATCATTATTGGAGATTAACTCTTCATTACACTACTAAGAACCACTCTTTGAGAGAAAGCAGTTTAGCAGTTGATGCCTGCTACTAAGGATGCCCAGCACCACCCCCAGCACCTTATGATCTTGGAGAAAACCCCTGTCTCCTCTCTGCCCCACTGACTCCATTCCACTCCCACTCAAGCAGCTAAACGGATTCTCCATCTCAGAAGACTGCAATATACCACAGCAGAGACAAAGGCTTGTAAAGGGAAATTCACAGGGAGCCATATAAAGTTATTTTTCTGATTGTCTCAGAGGAGGAGGAAATATGAAGTTTAATTCTGAAAGCACGTGGTGAAGTGCTAGCTGACACAGCTGTGTTTTGTGCTGAACTTCTGAATGTCACGGGCACTTGGCGGCAGGCTGGCACCCCAGACAGGACGTTCAGGGGAGAGCTTGCACACATGTACGGCATCAGTGTGTTATAGCCCTATGCTCGCCACATTGCCTGACCTACGCTTTGGCATCAAAATCCAGTGTATTTCAGAATTAACGGATGCATGTTTCTTTCACAAAATCTAATAGCGTATGAAATTGTCCCCTTGAGTTTATAACGTTAAATCACACCTCAGGAATCACAGCCTATTCAAAACAATAACCTCCATATTTCAGTCACAGGTAAGTTAGGGATGATGTAAAAACTAAATGAAATAACGATGAGCTTTCAAAAGGAAGGAATTTCTTCAGCAGATTTCATCACGTTGCCAATGTGCGTGGTATCCTGATGCAACTGAAACGTCCTGCAGTACTTAGGATGTTGCGTTATATTTGGGGAAATATTAATTATTCATCAGTTGGCTGATGAAGTCATGCAAAGACGGCAGTGCATGTATGAAGTAGAGACCCATACAGGGATGTATAAGGCATAACACTGAAATGAAAGACTATATTGGTTTTCAACAAGGACAGTGTTTGTTACACCAGTCAGCAGCATAACCCATAGATGAATCAGTGGGCTGGTATTGTTATCTTCTCCTGCAGGAATGAAGATCATGCTATATGTGTGTCCAAATTCACTAAATTTCTGTCATGTGAATTGTTGCTGTAAATGTGCAGAAGGTAAATGTGAAAATTCAGATTTTTCTTTCATACAATATAAAAATCATGGATTGCAACCTCTTGAATTTTAGCAAAAATGCAAGCTAAAGTAATGAAATAGGAATCCTTGTCTTTGGCCTCCAAAAACTGTCAAAAGGTATCCTGGGAAACACTATTTTCTGCTTGTGAAGTTTCTTATTTATTTTCCCTACTTACTGACATCTGTGTGAGATAGGATGCAGGCTAGCTAGATATTTTAGGATGGTTAAGTATGACAAGTCCTTTTTCCTTACATTTCTTAAAATTTGGAACTCACTGACACAACATATTGAGAAAATAGGGTTTGCAGTGTGTGAAACAGTACATGTTTTTTTTTTGTTTAATAAAGATAAGTTCACTAAGATTAGATAATGTAAAAGCAGATAGGGTGTACGAGTTGTCATGTTCTATCATGCTGGCTGACCTCTGCAAAATGGACTTTGGAAATAATTCTTGTATTGAAAGATAAATGCTTCTAATGAAGCATTTTGTACAGGTTATCAGACTGCCGATGGGGTTCATCCAAGACTCCCTTGTGTCCACATCAGGAGATTTTTTGGGGATGCTTATACAAATACTCCTTGATCAAAAAACAAAATTAAATGATGTAAAAATCCTATGTCTATCTTGGGCCCTTACCATATGTTGCTGTAATTGTATATGTGCATGTGTGTGTACATTAACATGCACATGAAATAAAGGGTGCATACCAAAAACTATTTTAATTAATTATGTGTTACCATGTCTTTATGGATTGTCATAACTGATGACAATTAAAACATGAACAGGAAAGATGCACGTAACATTTTTACTTCACGTGTATTATAATCAAACACAAGATTCTTAAGCTGTATTTACCATCTCCTCAGAGAGTGCCTTGATGTACTTTTTACCCATCTTTTTCTTCATGGTAAGGGAAATGGCTCTCATCTTCTTACCAAGACTTCCTCCATTATTTGCTGCTTTAGTTTGTACTGCTTCTCCAATGTCACTTATAGTCTCCAGCTCAGATATCTGATTTGAAATAAAAAAGTAAGCAACAACTCACCATGAAAATGAAATTCAGTGTAGTGGAATAGGAACTGCAGGAAAATATTAAGAACACCAATGCAGTTAGGATGACAAAAGTCAGTCATAGCCATTTTCCTGGAGAATCATGTGCATAAACAGCTTTGCAGCACAGCACTGTATGTGTGAACTACAGAAAGAAAATATAGTTTATGCTAGAAAACGTTGTTTCCCATTGTTTATTGTCCTTAATCCAAATAAGAATTGAGGGTTTCTTTGCAGGGGCCTTGAAAACAGAAATGACACATCTGTGGGTTGCATACCCGTGCCAGTCACTTTGGGCATGCACCAACTTGAAGTGCACTTTTGTCTTTTTGAAAAATTGTTTCTAATCTTCACATCAAAGTAACTAAGTTTGGGTGTCATTCTCTTGTTCATTTTGGCAAGGACTGAATCACCCAGACAGATCCAGGTACACAAGAAAATTTCTCACCCGTGTAAAATTCACACAATTGTTTCCCAATGTTTTTGCATAGCTGTCGTGGGAAAGTGAACTGAATAAAGTAAAACTTTGTGTTATACAGACCTCAGCTGAATCATCTGTCTTTGATATCGAGTGATGCCTGAAACGGTCAAAGCTTCCAAAGCTGCTTGTGCGCTGTAAAAAAAGAGAAGACAAACTTTGACTCACTGGTGGTGTTTTGTTCTGTTATTAAGACTTAAATGCAACTGCCAAGTCACCTGTTTGTGTTTAAAATTCCTCCCAGATCAGTGGACCATGAACTGCTACATCCAGCTAGAAACAAACTAGGAGGTGACTATACAGAAAAAAAATGTGACTGCACAGCCAGAAGCAGAAAAATGAATAAGAGAAACAATACTGCTTCAAATACTATAGAAATGAGTATGAGTTTTTCTACAGCAGTTTCACATTACTTATACACAGATATGTGTGAGTTATTTCTACGTAAGATTGCTGTCTACTATCTTAGGAAAAAAGGTGTTTCCATAAATACTATACAAGCTACAGAGTTGGTTATGGTGGTGTAAGTTGTGGCAATTTATACAGTTTACTTTGACAGCTGAGGACACTGTTTACAGTTCTTTACCAACAGGAATCAGCAAGGACCGGAGAGGATTATGAATACATTTTGTCCAAAATGCATATGTTGTGGAGGGAGTAAGTAACAGAATAATCAGACAGGCCTTGTGTTTTTCTTCCCAATCCTACAATTTAAAAATACCATTTTTAAACATAAACAGGTACAATTTTTCCCTGTGCCACAGCTTTGCTTCACATAAGAAAGGCTGCGTCACCTGAGCTGTACATTAAGAGACCATGAATGGATTGTTTTTACTTCCTTCTAATTTTCACCCTTTCTGTGTGTGGATAAGTGACATGGAAAGTAGGCAAGTGGCAGAGCAGATTTTTATGTGAGAGGTCACACAGCAATATCTCCCAGAGGTGCCCAGGCACAGTTGTCTGACAGTGCACTGCCCATGGTTTCAAACTGCGTAAAATTGGCACTGATGACAAGTCAGAAGTCCCTTTAAGTGTGGCCCTAATAACAGCAAGAATTGGGACATTTTTCCACTCTGCAGTATCTTCAAGAGCTTGTTTTTATATCTTCACCAATACTCAAAGCTAAGTCCAGAATGATTCCTTTGTTTTTGAAGTTCTTCACTCTTCCATGCTAAATGAAAGTCTTTTAATGCAGTATCAGAGTTCTTGAGCAGGGTTTAGTGTTACATACTATGCAATATCATCTCAGCATATTTCTGGGTATTCAAAATCCCCTCTGGAGGAAAAAAAAAACACTGAACTAAATCACAAATCATAACAAAAAAAAAATACATCCTGAGTGATTTAATAAGTGATTTCAGTCTACCTGGCTACAGGTTTTCCTGTATTTATTCATCCATTTACCTTGCCCACGTGGTTTCAGCCAAACCAGTTCCTTACTTCATTGCTTTCTCCCCCTACCCACAGCCACATGAACCATCTTTTCATCTCCCCCCAGGTTTCTAAAGCACCCATCATGCCCCCTTCCCCTAGTATCTCCAGCTACCTTTCTCTCTCCATCCAGGAACACCACAAGCCTCAAAAGGGCCCGTGAGCTCCTGGCTCTGCTCTGCCATTACAGCTTTCCAATCTTCTCTACCAGTTAACAGCTTTCGAGACGTGGCCTCAGAGGCAGCTGAGGTGGACCATCCTTTGGGCAACAAAACAGGAGGAGAAAAGGACTGGTTTAACAGCTGGCCCCGTTGCCTGCCTTCCCATTGCAGATGCACTTAATGCCAACATGAACCTGCTTCCAGAGAAGCTAAGGAGAAATCTCTCAGTGGTGATAAGAGCAGCAGAACTGCCCAAACACCGAGCACTGCCGGGAACACCACCGTCCTCCAATTTCCTACCCAGATGGCCGTCATGCTGCAGGAGTGCTGTCCTCTTGGAAAGCTGGAAAACTAAAGAACTGTTTGAGCCGACACCTAGCTAATGATTTCAACTTCTGGCAAATTTCTGAGTGCTGGTACGTCCCCATACCTGTTCTGCCCACAGCTACCAACCTGCTGTTTGCTGCTCTGTCCCCTTACGCTCTCCTCTCCTGGCAGCAGTCAGTCCTCTGTGGGACTCAGTGTCAGGCTCCTGATGCTGCACAGGGTGGTGAGGTGACATTCAGGCTTCACCACTGTGATCTTAAGGAAGGAGTTCATCAAAACGATACCAGCTACGTGGAGTACACACATATCTCCAGTAGGTGTTTCCATCCAGGAAGGACCCCATCTTAGTCTGTCCCTGCTCATAAATCACAGGGCTACTATCCATATTAGCTCCTTTATCTCTTACATGCAGTCACTTTTAAACTAAAAATAGTGTGCAGAGGGAAAAATAATATGACAAAGAAAAGCTACAGGAAACCATACTTTGTCTTAAAGACTCCATTTCAGAAGAAGAAAATCAGCATCCCCTGGAACACAACTGAAAGTAAAAGCTCCTTGCTGTTTGACTTCCCTGTTTTCCCCACACTTATTTATTATTCAGCTCCCTTCTCCAAAAAAAAAAAAAAAAAAAGGACATAGCAGTGTGAGACACCTGCGCAGAGCCAGGTGTAAGAGGAAAGTGTACCCACATTTTGGGTCCATGTTCTAACCACTACAGCTTAAGAGAAAAAAAAAAAAAAGTCTTTTTTTTTTTCACTGCATTTCTTGGCACATCTAACCTGAAAAATATTTCCAGCCAAAGGTTATTTGAAAAAGATGACCCAGATTTGTGAATATTTTTGGACATGTAAAATGACATTTACTATTCATTGAGGGGAAAAAAAAATAAGAAAAAAAATCACACAGCTCTCCTCCTAATTGATTGTAATCTCTCAGAAAATCTCTGTTGGCTAAACATTGTGGTTTATTTGTTTGTTTTTACCCTGTGAAATTGCAAAGGACAATTTGGATTGTACACTTTAATTTTATCTAAAATTCCCATAAAGAACTTTGCTATTAAGTAGATGAACAGTATCCTGTGACAAGGGGTTAGCTCAATAGTATGATATAAAAACACAGCCCCAAGGATTATGGTTCTATTAGACAGGATTAACACCTTTCACTGGCTTGTCAACCCAGCCAAATGTGCCCTGCAGCATGGAGCGGGAGGGATAGAAAGAGGGAGGCTGGGATTCACAGCAATATTGGGAAAGTATAAAATAGTCTCACGCAGCGATCTCTAAACATACACTGACCTTTCAGCTGCATTCAATCACTTCAAGATGTCTGGTAGGAATAACTGTATATTAAAGTGCAGATGTGCTGCAAATACTTTAAAAGGAACAAGAGGAAAAACATTGTTTATTGTTGGTCTTACCTATAAACAGCTAGAGCACAGGGAAATCAGTTATTCTTTTTTGACCCTTGAAACAACCTTATATCCTACATGTGCAGAAGCCTTGGGCTATTTTGTAGTGTACTTCAATGTTGCTTCATCCCTATTAAATATTAATAAGGGTTACAGGATGATTTCCACTATTCTAGATAATGGTCTTGTTGCACTGGAGAGCACTAAATAGGGCTGCTTCAGCAATTCTCTATACTAACTTTTTCCATTAAGTAATCAATAGCTACCACCTTTTAAAAAATGTATTCAACCCCATTATACTGATAACGAAAAGCAGATTTAGGAGCTCTGGGCTGCAAAGGGAACAGGACGATTACTTTCAGTAGTGTCAGTCACTGCATTAGTGTCAGGGAACACCTACTTTGTGAAGATACGAGCAGGCCTGATTTCCAGGTGAAGGGAAGCTTTTAAAGTAAATGCAAAGCTGCTAAGATGAAGTATGCTATTGACTTTTGATACCAGGATTCAGCATCCTATAAAGGTAAGTGATTTTTCTGGCTGGATTCATGCAAGACCTACCAATGGACATGTTAAACAAATACAAATTTGCCCAGTAAAATCTAATGGAGGCAAGGGCAGCGGGGAAACACTTTTTTTTCCCCATGCAAGGACCGATCAAATAATTTCTACAAATCAATGCATTAACTTTCATCCCTTCCCCTTCGGTATTCTAAATTAGCATAATAGAAAATATCGAAGATATTTTTCAGTATTTAAAATTCTTCTTCCATCTGTTCCTTTATCTTCAATTCCCGTAAACCCAGGAACTTTAAATAACCATTTTAAAGGGGTAAGTGCTATGTAATTGCTGTTTATTTTAATTTGGACAGTCTGCAGTTGGTGATCTGGTTTGTCTGTAAATAGCCTATCATTTTCCCCAGAAAAGGGTATGGTATACAAATAGAAAACCAACAACAAGAATGGGTTCTGCAATCCATATCTTTCTGTTATAAATCATCTGTACCTTGTAGGGCGTATCATAGGAGAAGTCAGTTAGTTCTTATGATAAACTAGTCAGAATTTCTTCGTGTCTATAGACAACCTTTGAGCCAAAATTGACAGCAGTTATCTTGCTAAATAATCATTATGGATGATATCCATCTCATATTTTCCTTTGGACGATTCACACTGCTCAGAGATCTGGTTCCCTGCTGTGAGAAATTCTGGCCCATTATGTTTTGCTACAAGTCCTATTCAAAATAGCTTTTAAGTCCAGCATGACGCAATGGCTTTGTACTGACCCTCTCGCACAAGTAAATCTCTTCAAATTCCTCCATGCATTTTCATTTTTAGCTTCCATTCATCCTTAGACTACCCAGACCACGTAAGCTGTACAGGGGCAAATGCAGTCACCGAGAATAACAAAAAGGGAGCTCAGCATGTTGCCCAATTTCCTTGCCTGCCACAGACACTTGTATTCTTCCCTCTCTGCTTAGAAGAAGCCACAGCAGCTCCCAAGAGGACAGTCTGGGCTTGCTGCTTTGATCGATGGAGATAAGTGAAGCTCAGGATTTGATTCATTTCTTCTATTCTCTGATGCTCCTCGTCCCTTCAGAAGGAGGAGACTATCTGAGAATGAAATTAAGAGGTACCAAAGTATGGACGAATATTGCCAGTCTGCTAGCTTACCTTCTTGCATAGATAATCAAATAAATGGTCCCCTACTTTACCAGAAGGCAAGACAGTAATTTTTAGCTTTTGGGATGTTCTGTGAAAAAACAAAAAAACAAAAAACAAACCAACAACAAAAAAACCCTCACTGCTGTATA